TCCTGACCTTTTAATTTAGATTCTTCATATTATATAGCTTGAAATGTGCGAAAAAATATCACTTCCTTCCCTGATCTTCTAGGTTTCTTAGGCCAAAATTTCGATTTCATCACATACGTATCCATCATATTTTCATCAAGTTAATATTTTGCAAATGGTTTCTTCAGATTATTCAGGGTTCTCTAGAAGGTATGTCCAATCAGCCGAAAAAGGCAATCTAGGCGTAACTTACTACATTCAGTTCAAAAACTTTACAGAAACAAGGCCAAATTCTACGTACCCATGAGCCTTGAAACTCTAAGCACTACCCGGTTCAAACGAATAACAAATCAGACCTTTTATCTTGTTGTAGAATAATAATTTAAACAGTATATGAAGTTAAGTATACTAATATTCACCATTGATATAGTTTTTTGAACCCATTTTTCGTATTCACTATTTTTTTTTACTTCTTCTGATGGGCATTTTTTTCATTACTAAGAGATTGAGTGCATCATAGATTAAACAAACCATGAAATCGTACATTATAACCACGGAACTAAAGTTGTTTTTGATCCCTCAGCGAATTTCAGCCTGCAATTTTTAATCTACCTATTCAAAATAAATTCGGATATACAGGGTGTTGCGAAATTCGACCGACAACGCTTGACAGGTGATAGCCCTCTTGATTTCATAATCACTGATATAGGGACATACGGTCTTTAAGTGTTCAGTTCTCGAGATACAGGGCGTTGAAGTTGAGAAGTTTAAATAGGTTTTTCGCAATATCTCAAGAAAAATTGAATATAATGCATTCAAATTCGGTATATGGTTTCATCATCAATGGTTAATTTTTTGACCTGAAAGACATTCCGAGAATTTTACCCAGAGGTGCGCTACAGAGGGTTGTGATAACTTTTCCTCACATATTTTCTACGCCACTAATTATATATTTTCAATTTCTCGAATTGATTGTTCAATTATCATCTTTAACTGAGCTAAAATGAACAGTTATCGAGATATTTGACCCAAAATAGAAGTTTGCATAGTAATTTTTCATCTTCTTCAGTAGTAGATTACAAAAATTTTTGTTTTCTCTTTATGCGTGGAATAACTATTTCTGTTCAGCTACAGAATGAGATCTGAATAGTACCTAATCTACTCAACACCAGAAAAATATTTTGGCAATTTTCTACTACTGAAAATGATGAAATATTACTATGCAATCTTCTATTTTGGGTCGAATATCTCGAAAACTGTTCATTTCAGCTCAGTTGAAGGTGATGCATTTTTTGAATAAAATTGAACAATGAATTCGAGGAATTGGGAATAATTGAAAATGCAGCGGCGTAGAAAATATGGGAGGAAAAGTTGCCACATCCCCCTGTAGGGCACCACTGGATAAAATGTCCGGAATAGCTTCCTGGTCAAAAAATGACCCATTCAAACCATATACCGAAGTTGAATATATTAAATTGAATTTTTCTTGAGATATTGCGAAACAACTATTTTTATTTCTCAGTTTTAACGCCCTGTATCTCGAGAACTGATCACTTGAATACCGTATGTCCCTTTCTCAGTGATTATGAAATCACCAGGGCTATCACCTGTCAAGCATTGTCGGTCGAATTTCGCAACACCCTGTAGAAAATACTTTCTGGTAATGGCACCTCGGAATATTGAATATCTGTTCCCTACATTCTAGAAGTAAAAAGGTAAGAACGATCCACTCGAGAATGCACTCGAAAAATACCCAGATTGAAAAAAACAACATAAACTGGGCGTCAATTGAAACGTTAATAGTGAAATTTGGCATCAAGTTTGACTTCTCGTAATTTCTAAAATATTGAACGAAATTTGAATTGCCGCCCAGATTCTGAATGCCTTTTTCATCGTCTTTCGAACCGTTTCTTATCTTCTGAATTGATCAGGACCCGTGATACAGAGGGTGAAACAAAGTTTCGTGCATTTTGAAAAGAATTTCTCCGCCCCCCCATTTTGTCGGAAGACCACGATGCTCATATTTTATTCAGGCATTTCATAAATAGCAACCATACCTCGGGACGTTTTCGAGTTTTTGCCAAAAACTACTGTGGTTTCCGAAAAAAAAATGTTTTTGCATTTTTTTCAAAGGGCCTGATTACCTGTATCTTCAAAACGATGAATCAGAGTCTATTTATTGTCATGACTGACTTATTGAAAATGGTACTTAAATGAGTTTGGGTATATCCTAATCGTCGTAACCTGAAATAATAATTATCTGTACTGAATTATAGTTTATATCACTATAATGATCTTACCAAACGATATTTTCCATTTCGACCCGATTTGAACGAGGCATCTTTAAATTTTTTAGGACCCGAATTACACTGACGTTTTCATGAAAATTGGCAATTGATATAACCTCTATATGCATACCTACATTGTTTCAACAATACGTTGTTATAGAAACAAGGTATCGTTGTTTGTTTTTGTTGATGAGATGTGTTGATTTACTGCTCACTAAGGTAGACAACTTTTATCATAGACTGCGAAGTAATAAATTATTGATTGTTTTTGAGTAACCTGGTATACATATCTGCTCCAACGCTTTCCTGGAATGCATAAAAGCATTCATTTATGGAACTCCTCTAAAATTAGTCCATTTAAAAAAATACAAAAAAAAAATTTTTCGGAAACCACAGTGGTTTTTGGCAAAAACTCGAAAACGTCCCGAGGTATGGTTGCTATTTATGAAATGCCCGAATAAAATATGAGCATCGTGGTCTTCCGACAAAATGGGGGGGCGGAGAAATATTTTTCAAAATGCACGAAACTTTGTTTCACTCTGTATCACGGGTCCTGATCAATTTAAAAGAAGCTGTAAGGAACGGTTCGAAAGACGATGAAAGAGGCATTCAGAATCTGGGCGGCAATTCAAAATTGGTTCAATATTTTAGAAATTACGAGAAGTCAAACTTGATGCCAAATTTCACTATTAACGTTTCAATTGACGCCCAGTTTCAAAAGCAAGAATGTTTCTGCCTACCTAGTTATTAGTTGTATAGGCTAGGATATTCATTCATCAATTTCGACTTGACTGAATCCAACGTTCCAGGGTCACTGGTTTCAACCAGATCGACCGCTATTACCACTAATTATAGAGAGTGAACGTATTATTACTGCGTACCTAATGAGTTTATTTCATCTGAGGTCGGTGTCAGAAAATAAACTACTCATTCAAGATCAAGGCGAACGAGCTATCATCGAGCAATAATCGTTCACATCCGTACAATAAATCACCTGCAACTAGCTCTTATGTTTACGAATTTTTATGATTATTTTTCTACGAGTTCAAATTAGGGTCTGCAATTAATTGGGTGTATAGTGATGGGTGATACCCGGGTATTTATCATTGAGGGTATTTACCTAGGAGCTGGGGAAAATTGCTATTTATTACACTATTTTTGCAAGTTTAATGTCTTAAACAGGTTTTTCAATTTGACAACCATCTAAACAACCAAAAACTTTGACAAAAACAATGTTTAGATTGAACAACTCTTCATGAACTCACTCCCAGTGGTCTGGGATCTGGTATGTGGTAATCTGGTACTACAGAAATGACACCTTTGACAAAAAACTACAATAAACAAGGACATCTATATTTAAAAAAACTGTACCTACTTAGGAAACAAAATATTCCTTATTCATAAAAAAACCGACCCCTATCTTATGACAGAGGAACAAGGAACAACGAACTTGAAAAACAAAAAGACAACTCTTGCGAGTCTTGTGTAGGGAACAATAACATAATTTTCAACTTGTAAAATAAAAAACCTATTCTATTTTTCATGTAAGGAACAAATACAAATAACAACTCAGAACGTACTAACTCAAATAAATACCCTTAGGATAAATACCCACTTTTAGGTGGGACTCTGATCTTGGTCACACTATATTGGTCTGACAGGGATAATGTATAACCACCGCATCAACGAACATCTATATATAATATATAAATGAATGTTTATTTTTGTTATTGTCAGAAGATTCTTATAGGAGAAAAAATTGAGAAATTCCAGATGGCGAATCCAACATGGCGGACGAGTTTTATAATTATAATCCGACTCTATTCAAAATTGGTATCTGGGGGTTAATGGGGTCGGAGATTATGATTCTTTTGTCAAAATTCGAGATGGAGGATCGAATATGGCGGACGAGTTTTGTAATTATGATCCGATTCGATTCAAAATTGGTATCTGGAGAATTTTGGGGTCGAAGATTTTGATTCATTCTTCAAAATTTGAAAATTCAAGATGGTTGATCTGTTATCGCGGACGACTTTTGTAATTATGATTCGATTCTGTTCAAAATTGGTATGTGGGAGTTTTCGGGTTCGGAGATTATGATTATTTCGTCAAATTTTGGAAATTCAAGATGGCAGATCCAATATATGGTATATGAGTTGATTAATTATGATCCGATTCTATTTAAAATTGGTATCTGTGGGTTTTCGGGGTCGGAGATCATGATTCCTCAGTCATAATTAGAAAATTCAAGATGGCGGATTCAATATGTAGAACGAGATTTGTAATGAAGTGTTTCGAAAAAGTAGGTTATTAAAGACGCTTTCATAAAGATAGCCAAACTAAAAAGAAGAAGAAAATAAATAGTAGCTTTTATGGTTAGTCAAACTAAACAGAAGTAGAAAATGCAATAATAAAAGTAATAATAACTTTGAAATGATCGAGATATAGTCAACATTATTATAGGAGTTGTTGGAGGTCACAGGGATGCTTCGAAAAATAAGCTAACATACAGGGCATTCCATTTCAAAAAGGAATCCTGATCCTCTAGATTTTTTTCGGTGCCTCCTGTATATGTGGCAATAATTTCTAGTTATGGACCTTGTTGTCTCATTCAAATTCGTTTTTGAATCGAGTTTCTAGCTGTCATAGAACTCGAGCAATCGAGCTTCGACGCACTAATGCACCACCCTGTATAATTATATTTTTTATGATTGTTCCTTACAAATTTTCCAGCGATGGTATCGAAGCTGGACGACAGCGTGGGTCGGCTAGTCGAGGCCCTCGACCGCAAGCAGATCCTGCCCAACTCCATCGTGGTCTTCGTGAGCGACAACGGCGCCCCCACAGTGGGTCCGCTGGGCCGCAACTGGGGCAGCAACCACCCCCTCCGCGGCCTCAAGGACACGCCCTTCGAGGGCGGCGTGCGCGGAGTGGCGTTCGTCTACAGGTTCGTCATAAGCATGATGACAATTCGAAATTGTCATGAGGTAGAAGATATCAACGCTATCCTGCCTCCTTTAGTTCTAAGAGTTCATTAAGCATTAAACGTTACCAAAAAACGTTACATAATCGTGAGCACTTATACCAAAATGTAGGCATTAATCACACGTTACTGAGTAATGGTTGAGGAACGTTATTGGAAAGCGTATTCATCACGTTGTTTCTGTTACTGACTGTTGAATGATGGTAAAAGATTCACGTTGGGAAAACGTCAGATTTAAGAGTTCATTAAACGTTATCAAAAAGCGTTACATAACCGTGAGCACTTCCACCAAAATGTAAAAAATAGTTTGATAACAACATTTATTACACAAAAAAACGGTGGAGAAAAGTTGTTGAAAAACATTTTTAACACGTTGATTTCTTGACCAGCAGTTGATTTTAGTTGAAAGAATGGCGTTCATTCCAAGGGTTCAACAAACGTTTCGAATGAACGTTATATAACTGCTAGCAGTTGAAAAATAGTTTAACAACAAGGTATAATAAACGTTGTCAAATGAAGGCTGGAAAATATTGTCAAATAACGTTTTATTCACGTTTTTCCCCACTATCAGTTAGAAAATAATGAAGGATTCGCGTTGAAGAAACGTTCATCTCAAGAGTTTGTCTAACGTTTTGGGGAAACGTTTTATAAATGTACGAATTTCATGGATCGTTAGGACATATCGTTTTCAATACGTGTATTAAACGTTTAGTTTTAACGTTATTCTCTTCAACCATATATCAACGTTGAATTCCTCAACCATAAACGTCTATTCAACCTGATCTACGTTGATTAAACGTTTACAAAACGTACGTGTGCCCATTGGGTTATATCTGAAATATACAGGGTGCCCCAAAAGTGCTGGGACACAGAGCTACCACGTATAAAAGAGGTCAAAATAAATTGATTGGACCCAATTTATTTATGTATTTTTGTACGCTGTTCAAAAACAAGTGAAACGAATTTGATGAAATTTGGCAATAGTGTATTTCAGAAGATTACTTTCCTTTTGGTAATTGAAGAAATCTAAAAGAAATTGTTAGAAGGGTTTCCAATCAACTTATTTTGACCTCCTATACACGTGGTAGCTCTGTGTCCCTTGTTTATTCACTAATTTATTTATTCACAGCCCCCTTCTGGTGCAGGCGGCGAGGGTGTCCACTGACCTGATGCACGTGACCGATTGGCTGCCCACCCTGTATTCGGCCGCTGGGGCGGATATTGGGTTAGTGGATTCTGATTTGGACGGGATCGACCAGTGGTCTACTTTGGTAAGATCAGAGATGAAGGGTTCGTTTTACTTTCTGATAATATTCTTGTTAATTGTCCAAAATGATGATTATCTGACATTATGATATTTTTTCAATCCCATGGGCTTATAGGGGATTATAATTAGTATTCAATTTAGACAGCACGTATTTCTATTTCATCATTTATTGACAGATTCAATCATGAAATAGTCATGTGAATACAACTCGTGATACTATTTTTCCTGGAAATATTTCTCGATTGACATCATACTTCAGCTTGTTGCTTTTATTTCTCGGTTCCAATGTCATTAGGGAATTTACTATGCATCAAGCTGTCGTAACAACAATAATAATAATAATAATAATAATAATAATAATGATAATATTTATTTCATTCTTTGCTATGAACATTACATTGCATCTCATAAATATGAATATATTTTATTGAGATTTACAATGAAATAACATGAATAATCAGACAGATTCATATCTGGTATGAGATTATAGTCATGCGTTATTAAATCTAAGTTATTGAAATAAACAACAGATTCAAAAAAAATAATAATAAAACAGAAAGCTCATGAAAAGTACATTATGAGATGATGAAATAAATTAGTGAAGTTTGATTTTCTCTTTGCAAGAGGATATGTTTCTTAACCTTAATTTTGAATTGGGTGATATTTGTGCAACTGCTGATATCATCAGGTAATTTATTGAATTTTGAGATAGCTCCGTGAGTGAACTTTTTTTGGCCAAGTGTAGAATTAGCAGCATCAAGATGAAACAAGTCATATTGACTAGTATGATGTTCATGGATTTGAGAATTCCTTACCAATATAAAGTTAGATTTGAGGTGTTTGTTGATAATATCAAAAGAAATTTTGAGAGTATTCATCAGATAGTGGCTTTTCCAAAGAAAATGTATTGGTTTCTTCATAAAGTTGATTTGATGAGGTGTCATATTATGGAAGACGATACAGTACTTTCAATGCTTTTTTATATAGTACAGATATTTTGTTGAAATTTTTCTTGGAACATGAACCCCAAATATTTATGAGATAGTTCATTTTACTAAGGATGTGAGAGTATAGAACGGTATTTGCTATATTTGGGATAAGTTATCATTGGACATCTTCTTAGGGCACCAACTATGAGAGACATTTTTTCTTTGAGCATGCGGATATGCTTGTCCCATGTTAACTTTTCATCAATCCAAATACCCAGGTGTTTGTTCCAATCTTTCATTTAATATTCTGATATTCAAATCAATATTAAGTTAATTTCCTCGATGGAAAGTTATAAAGTGTGTCTTATAAGAATTGAGGGAAAGAAGATTGGAGTATAGCCATTCTTCTATTTTCTTCAAATCCTCAATCATGATGTTTTCTAAAATTACAGGGTTTTTGTTTTCACATAAAAGTTCTGTGTCACGTACATATATGGCATAGTTTCCTATTAAATTTATTTTTGTAATGTTCTGAATGTATAAAAGAAACAGAATTGGGCCCAACACCGATCCTTGGGGAACTCCTTTGTTTACATATAGTACTTTAGATACACAATTATTTATTTGAAATGAAAATCTAAAATATCGGTACTACCTTTGATATTAAATTGAAAGATTAGATACTTTTGAGTTTCTCAACCTACAACTTCAATTATTGTTTAGTAAACGTCGAGAACTTTTATACGGGGTCAGTCAAAGAAGCAAAAATTTGAAAATAGATCAATGTGTGAGCTATCGAATGATTTTTTTGTATCAACAGGCGTACGATTTGCCCTCAGCGAGGAACGATATTGTGATCAACTTAGATGAAAAGACGAGAAATGCTGCACTGAGATTCTACAATTGGAAGCTGATAGTCGGTAAGTGATAAGTTATGAATGGATTTTTAGTAGTAATATAGCAAGTGTAATGAATATGGCCTATAATTTCTATAGCACGAAAAATTTCGTGATGAATACAAAATTAAGGTATTCGATCTCTTTGAGATTGACATTCAGAATATCTTTGTAAATTTTTGTTGTCTCGGTCTCTTGAAAAAATTAACAAGCTAACAAACCAAATTTCAACTACTGCCCTAGTGAATATTTTTTAGAATAACGAATGGAAACTTCCAGATGGTCATATTTTGCAAGCATACAATTTACGTATTCTACAAGTTTCGTTTTTCCACAATTTTCATCTCCTTTTGCCTACTCTCTTCAAAAATAACAAACGATCTTGAGTGAATTTCCATTCCAATATATCAATATAATACACGATTATTTGAAGGGGCCAACCAAAACGGATCATACAACGGATACTACGGCGACATTGTGCTCAATGACATCGAAGAACAAACCTACAATACTAGCGCGGTTCTCAACAGCCCCGCAGGAAAGGTAATCAGTAAAGTGAACTACTCTCCGCTCACCGAGGTAGAATACGAGGGGATAAGGAAAAGTTCGACGATTACGTGCTTGGATCCAAAGGCCAAAAGGAACCCCTGTGACCCCGCAGGTAAAGTATAAACAAAGTGATGACTCAGCTCATTAATAGTAGATTGTTTTATTAGGGTCAAAAGTGACACTTTGTTTGACAAGCGAATTTTGCATTTGCGAGGCGGGGCGTTTAGCGAAGCCGAGCGAAAGCAAAATTTGCGAGTAGAACAAAGTCACTTTTGATCCGAATGAAACATGCTATTTTTTCTGCAACCGAAACAATTAACTCAAATAAACATGTGAAGTAACCACCAATGCCATGCCATATGTATGCAATGCAACAAATATTGACAAATAATCCATGTGGTAAGAATATTCTACCTGCATTAACAGCAGGTTAGGTTTTCTAGGATGTTCGAATTGTAGTTTCAATATCAGAGTGACATATTTGTGTATGGACCAGGTGCTCTAATCGCAAATACCGCGCCAGTGCTAGCTATAGGAACAAGACGTGGAAAATGTTAGGTTAGTGAGCATATCAACAATGATAATAGTGATTATTTATTCCTCTCCATACTACATTGTGTTTGACTTGATAATCAAATGAAGCTAAACAATATCGTTGTTTGAGACAAAAAACTATTGCTTGCCGTGATTATTCAAAAACAAGTTATCCATCCCGAGAATAACGAATGAAATACAGATCAAGCAAGTTTCAATCTTGAAGGCTTCCCTGATCAAAACAAAAATACTTAACTGAGATATTTATAATTCCAATACTAAACTATAATAATGTGTTTATATCTCCAGCATGGGTATGAAATGCCAAATCTGCTGAAATCGAAAACAAATTAGGTATGCCTCTCAACCCAAATAACCAACCTTGACGACTTCCAGTAGATCCTTTTTAGTTCCTAGGAGCTAAAGTTCAACTTTAGCTACTAGGAAATAAAATTCAACTTAAGCTCCTAGGAACTAAATATGTTGCCTAGCAACATACCTATTTTTGTGTCAGTAATAGAAACGTCAATTTAAGAGCTAATTTTGGTATCAAAATAGACGAAATTGTGTCGGTTGCAGAAAAAATACTGTATTCTTTCCACAAAAAGAGAGGAACTCAAGAAAATGAACGAAAATGGTAGATAACGAGAGAAAAACAACTAATTTCCTGGCTATATGCCACGCAATTGGATTACATTCTCCGGAAATCTATAGACGAATAAAATCGCAAGTGTTTCCTTCCTAAACGCCGAGCTGCGCCATAAGTGGTTCAGGAACGCGTGACTATCTGCAGACTAGTTTCGAGCTATTGGCTCTCATCAGTGCAGGGCTGTCCCAGATAGCTTCTTGACCGCTATCTGGTGCGAACCTGCCCCAACCCAACGTAAACGCATCTCAGCATTTATACCACACGAGGCGTTCAACGTCCGCGAAATGAACGCGAACGCCACCTGGCAAGGAAAGAAGCACTCCAAAACAAGATTCCATTTCAGATGAGATGGGAGTGGCTGGTTGCCCGACTGGCGTATTTTCAACTAGGAAAAAGCCAAATACTCGAAGTGGAAAACAATGGTCACAAAAAGAGAGAAACTCAAAATCATTATCACATAGATTTCGGGAGGATGTAATCCAATTTTCTGCGTGGCATGTAGCCAGGAAAGTAGTTGTTTTTCTCTCGTTATATACCACTTTCGTTCATTTTATGAACTATTGTGGTAAAGACTTTCTCTTTCATGAAGAATGACTGAAAGAATAACTGGACTTCAGGTTATTGATGAGGATTTGATATTCGAAATGAGTTTATTCGAGTGAAGTCATATAACCTGTTTGTGAGAGATATAATTCCCATATCACTGATACGAATGATTTTTTTTTTTGAAGTTCCAAGCTCATCAAGATCAGAGTTTATACAAGTTTACTTCTCATATACATTTCAATTTTCATTTCAATACTGAACATATTGGTAAATTATATTTTTATATCATAATACATAATACATATTATTTTATCCGATTTGAGAGATGATGTCAATTCTCAATTTCAGAAGATTTTCATTTCTCATGCTCTCTTTTTGGATATAATTCAATGTTCGAAGTGGCAAATAGCCAGGAAAGTAGTTGTTTCCTGTTGAATATTCAGAATGATATTTTGTGCATATCTTTATATGAGGGAGAATGCAAATTCTCTACTTCAGAAGATTTTGTTTTCAAATATTTATCGTGTATGTTCAATAGATGTAATTCAATGTTCGTCGTGGCATATAGCCAGGAAAGTAGTTGTCTGTTGAATAGACCGAGAAAGAATTGATATTTTCATCACATGGAGAATGCGAATTCTAAATGTATTTCTTTATATATACACCGTGTCCCAGCTAAAATGTCCCCCCCTGTAAAAAATCAACCGCCCGATCGAATGTCTTGAAATTTGGTCACCCAGTATATTTGATGATGCCAGTAGGGTTTGATGGGATTTCTTCAAACGACTACGAAGATATGGAAAAAATAAAACGATTCATTCAAAAATTTATATTATTAGATTTTATTGATATAACACGATTGAAATCGAATGAAAAGAGAATAATTAAATTCTCAACTGCTCAATATGTCGTCCATTCTGCTGCAAATATTCCCTAGCTCTTTTGATAACGTTCATTGTGACCCTATGTATCACGTTGCGATCAATTTGTGCGCATAAATTTGTGATTTTCTCTTTCATTTCTTCCATTCCCACAATTGGCGACTCATAAACCTGTTGTTTCAAGTAGCCCCACAAATAAAAATCAAGTGGGGTGAGGTCTGGCGACCGAGCTGGCCAGTTGCTATCACCATCGAGACAATTGGTGGTTATTAGATTTTCTTCAAACCTATGGCGAAGATAATCCTTTACGGGTCTGTAGTTATGTGCAGGACACCCATCATTCGATTTTAATCGTGTTATATTGATAAAATCTAATCATAAATTTTTTATTGAATCATTTTATTTTTTGCCATATCTTCGTAGTCGTTTGAAAAAATACCATCAAACCAGGCATTGTTGAATTTGTAATAAAGAACTCTACTTGAATATGGAATAATATACTGGGTGTCCCTATTCAAATAAGAAAGTTGAGGTGCACTTCGGTGTGACCCTGTACATCTACGATTTATTCAATAGCATATTTCGAGTGAGCATCATCAAATATAATGGATGACCAAAGGACCCCGCACATTTAGTACGGAAAATGGCTTTCGGCCAATTTTTCTGAAAATTTTATGTTTCAGATATTAGCGTCCTTATTACACAGTCCAATTTACAGATCGATCGTATGACCAGTTTTCGAGCTACAGGGTGTCAATCATTTGATTTTGGCTGGTATTTTGCATCGATTTGAATTATGTGCTTCAAGTCGTGATAAATCTTTAGTAGACGCTACACGTCTAATTTCCTCCTCATGAATCGCTGTATTCGAATAGATAATGATATCACATACAGTGACGTAACTCATACGAATTTTTCATAACTGTTTATATAATATATGAAGTGGAAAATTAAATGTCTCATGAAATACCCCCACCAACCCCCTGATATATTATATAAACAGTTATGAACCATTCGTGATATGTATCTCATTTTGTACATCAGTAACATCAATTATAAGCTTTCAAATTGTCATCACCCTATGTATGGCAAACCGGACATTGTATCAGGAGAAATCATATAAATCCTCATGTTGATGATCAAGATCCATAGTGTGTAATAATTTATCTATTCTAGCCGTTTGTTTTCAAGTTTTCAGTGATTGAGTAAAAATCGAAATTCTGATATTTTCAGTATTTGTCTATTCCCATGATTATTACCTTTTCATGAGAGAATGCAATACCCTGTATGTGATATTATTATCTATTCGAATAGAGGGATTCATGAGGTAGAAATTAGACGTGGAGCGATTATTTCTACTGAAGATTTATCACGACTTAGAGCACATAATTCATATCGACGCCAAATATTCTAAACAGCGAAAATCAAATGATTGACCCTGTAGCTCGAAAACTGGTCATAGGATCGATCTGTAAATTGGACTGTGCAATAAGGACGCTAATATCTGAAACATATCAAATTTTCAGAAGAAGTAGCCGAAAGCCATTTTCCGTACTAAATGTGCGGGGTCCTTTCAAGTCATTCGATTGCGCGGTTGATTTTTTACAGGAGGGGGGACATTTTAGCTGGGACACGGTGTATATCCATGTTTTATATTGATGATTATATCTGAGAATATTCCTTTTCAATATACTGTTTTCATCTCACAGACGGCTCCTTGTGCTTGTACGACATACCCAGCGATCCCTGCGAGGAAAACGACCTGGCCAAGTTCTTCCCTAGCGTTGTGCGACGCATGAAGAGGGCCCTAGTAGACTACAGGGCAGTGCTCGTCAACCAATTAGAAGAAGGAACAGACATCGAAAATGCCGATCCCAAACTGTTCCGCCACACTTGGAACCCTTGGTCGGGATGTTCTTCAGCCGACTGTCAAGTGCCGACGCCAGATGCGTGAAGTGCCGACACTTAATGCGTGAAGCGTCGACGACCGATGCGTGAAGCGTCGACTCATAATGCGTGAAGTGTCGACTCATAATGCGTGAAGTGTCGACTCATAATGCGTGAAGTGTCGACTCATAATGCGTGAAGTGTCGAATCTTTATGCTCAAAGTATAGCAATGTGGCGAAGCTCAAGACGTGAAGTGACACCCGATGCGTAAAGTTTGGAGATTATATTTTATTTAAAGACTGTACGTTTGCTGAGATGAAATATCCTCCCTTCCTTGTAATTATTTAGTTTAGACAAAAATGGAATACAATCATTCATTCATAGAAATAATATTTCATATAGATTTATTGTAATAAATAAAATTTTATGTACAGATTTACTTTCCTATGATAAAAAAATTAAAGTTGTATGCTGATCAATCGACTTAATCTTTATAACAGATTTGAAATAAATCGACTGTTCCAGGTATGCCATGAAAAATATGGTTTGCAAATAGATAACAAATGAACTCTGCATTCCAACAGTCTAGAAAAAAACCCGTAAAAATATATAAACAATGTTTTCCACCATAAATCATGTGAAAATATTATAAATTCGATGGAAACCACATAACTGAATAGTTTCTTTCTGTCAAATCAGCAAAAATTATTGATAAAATAACAAATTTTCGATGAATTTTCAAAACAATATTTGTTCCAAGGTTATTTTTGTGCCTCTAAGAAACTCCTATTTTACACTTAATAAGATTTGATTGACATTTCTGTCAAGTTTATAACAATACCACAGTTATGAAACTTGGTTCAGTTTTTCGCGAATATGTATCGGAAAAAGAGTATCAGTTGAAAATGTAATACAGATAATTATCTGAGCATGTTTTATCATTTGAAAAAACCGCGTACGTTCATTTTTACAAAACAATCAATCAGCAATTGGAATGCAGAAATCCTTTTGGAATATCCGATAATCCTATATAACTATCACTCACACTACAAAGAATTAGCATTTGCTTTGGAATAATTACTTCTTCACATGAAAGTTCGTGTCGGCATGAATATTGTTCAGAAACATATCAACGTTCACCCTCTTCAATAACCTCTTCGCCGCATTTTCATTTTCTTTGCCATCCTCTGACAATTTTCGTTTTCTTGTACTAAAAAAAAATTGAATTTTCAGCTAATAATCTAAATATATCAACATTCAATAAATGCAATTTTTTTAAATAAGCACAAAGATGTTTTCTTCTATGAAATGAAAAAAAAAAAGTATATTCCCGCAAATGAATTAATGAATGAATCAATGATTATTATTACAGAAATAGTTAATCTTACATGGCTTACATATTAGTAATGAATTATAAATACTTTGTAATATGTATGGCACAATGTGTTGAGTTATAGAACTTGTCTTCGGGAATCCGCAAACATTTTACTATCTTCAGACCTTATTTTCAATTTAAAACTGCATTATAAAACACAAAATAAACAAAAAAAAATCAAGAACTAATATAAGGTTAAATTATATTAGTATCAGCAGTAGCGTAAAATGGAAATGAAAAACTACGTAATTGGATTCGTATTCAGTGCCAATGAAAAGAAGACAGTCAGGTGACCAAACTTGTAGTTACGACATTGATAAAGATGAATTTTGGTTCTTCTATTGGGTAAAAAAAGATAAGATTTCCACAAAAGTTGTGCATTTTTTGCATTTTGAGCTTATCAAAACTATGAATTTTCTAATAAAAATAACACCTGTTCCGTTTGTGTTTGAAGTTTTCTCAGTAACTACACTACATTCAGTTTGGTAAAATCGCGTCAAAATTCTTCTATTCGATGAAGTTTTGAATTTCAACATCACTTTCAATAAAACAAATCGGCTATCATATAAAAAATAATTCACAAGCAACACTACACAATGGCCCAATAGCAAAATTATAAAATATCTTAGATGTAGATGAATGGGGAAGTTTCCTTTGGATGAATTTTCACCAAATTAGTTTCACACTGATTAGGACTACTCTTCTGCAAGCTATAATGGTAATTAAATGATTCAAATAGAGAAATATTTTGACGATGAATCGAGTGTGAACTTTAGTTCTCCGAACAAGCCCGAACTGAAAACGAAGGAAAAAAATCAACGTTTCACTTTTTCAGAAGTCTTATTCATGATGATTATGAGTATTTCCAGAAAAATGAGTGAATTTTGAATGACGGAAAATGAAATTAGAATGGCTCACCATCAGTGATATCCGGCAATATTACAATTCTGACGAACTTATTAGTCTATAGAGATAAATTTCAACTTGAATCACGGCAACTAGATCACAATCAACGAGTGCGAATACAACGAGAACGGCGCATATACGGGGTGTTATTCAAGTATGTGACCAAACTTCGAGGGGTGATTCTGAGAAAAATTCCGATTTTCCAATTTCAATGAAACTTGGAGATTTCGTTAACAGTATCAAGGAGTTTCTTTTGGTGTAATTACCTTTACCTTTCCGTATTTATGCTAAATAAGATATTTTTATCAGATTAAACAATTGAAAATACAACTTTACTGACCCCTATGAAATTTTTATATATCACCTAAGTTTCTGAGAAAATAATGAAAATTTGATTTGATTCCAAATTTAAATGTATGTGCCCTGGGATTAACCAATAACCTCAATGAGTATTATTCTGAAATTTTGCGACTGTTTATTATACTGGGTTATCATGAAAAACAACAATCTATACTTCCAAATTCAACACCCTGTATCTTGAAAACGAAGCATTTCAGGACCAATGTTATATGAACTTTCCATCTTAGAATCACCCAACGAATCGCCACTTGAAGTTTGGCCACATACTTAGATAACACCTTGTATAATACTAGACAGTGAATTAAGAAGAAACCGTAAACAACAATGAACAATGGAAAATAATCTCAATAAATTCGCAGCTATCAGCATGGTTTGGTGTATAACTGGTTTTGGGCGCGGTTGCCAGGAATAACTTACTGATTCTTTGGAAACAATGTATATCCTCTCAAGATCCCTTCAAGTTAGAATTTTATTTTGATTCTATTCATTTCAAGATTCAACTTTGAGTAATGGAGGTATTCATCTTACATTATATTAGTCATTTCATCAGGCATCCATAAATAATTTGGTTTATACTTTTCGACTAATAAGGATGATGAATATCTATTTGTCATACATCAAAAAAACAAGGGAATCCAATTACAAATATAATTCCATATGAAGTAGCCAATATTGAAATAAAGTCTCAATGCAGTCAATATACAGTGAGGTCATTTAAGTGTGCAACATATGGAAATCTTTTCAATGGATTGCACGACCAAAATACTGATAGTGCCAAAAGTTGGTGCATGTTCGGTAATCATTTTAGGTGCACTCAGAATGATTGCAAGTCACACAGCATACAGGGTAGGTCAAAAAATATAAAAATTGCTCAAGAGTAAAGTACCCTTATTTCAGAAAATTCAGCAGAATGTTATTTAGAAAAGTTGTTTACAATTGAAAGTTATGCCTAAATACCAAAACATGGCCTCCTAAGATCATTTTTAGTTTTTCAATTTTGTTCGTGAATAATTTTCCAATCTGTATTTTTTTATATTCACCCTGAATACTGTCATAAGTTTATCATAACAAAATCAGTTGAGCATATCTTTGTTCAAATTCAAGCATATTTGTGCAATTAACTTAGATTTTAATTTTTTTTAGGGAATCACAAAGTTTAGGTTTGTTGCAACGATATTCAGCTTAACTTTGAAATTTCGCAAACCATATTTTTAACAAGGTAAAACAACATTTATGATAATATGCATATTCAAAAACTTCCATTCAATGTGCACATTTTGTATTTGAAATATTACAAATTGGGAAATTATTAACGAACAAAAATGAAAAACTAAAAATGTCTTAGGAGGCCATGTTTTGGTATTTAGGCATAACTTTGAATTGTAAACAAGTTTTCTTCATAACATTTTGCTGAATTTTCTGAAATAAGGGTACTTTACTCTTGAGCGATTTTCTATATTTTTTCACCTACCCTGTATGCTGTGTGACTTGCAATCATTCTAAGTGCACCTAAATCGATTACCGAACATGCACCAACTTTTGGCACTATTTGTATTTTTGTTTTGCAATTCATTGAAAAGATTCCCATATGTTGCACACTTAAATTACCACACTGTATATACAGAATTTTAGCAGCGTCGCAGTCGCGTTAGCAAAATTGCGTATTAGCTCTGTGTGAACATTTCACCGTTTCACCAATGACGTCAGCAGAATGGTGAAGGAGCCGCTAACGCTAAAGCGTTGTTCGGTCATCAGCAACCGCGTGGTGGGAAAAGTAACATTTTCCGCACTACTATTACATAAGCTTCACGTAGAAATAAAAATCTCAATATAGGAAACTTCCCCATTATTATAAGTAAATTCTCACCTTTTCGGTGACGATGTTTTTGGCTCATCATTCCCAGTAGCTGCAAAATCCATCAAATCATCGTCTATCACATTATCCGTCGCTGCCACAGCCTCTACCCCTGCTACCTCCTTTCTACAACTCCCAATCCCCTCAATGACATCTCTGATGACCACCACCTCCTGAATTACGATCTTTTTAGACGGCTCCACCGCCTTGACTTCCTCAACAGCTTCTGTAGCACTCGGCATATCGAAGAATATGCTGGCCTCTGTGAACTTGAGCACAACATCAACCTCTCCGCCGATTTCCTCGAAATACACTTTGCCAACGAACGATTTACTAGGATCTCGGAACTTTTCCAAATCATTTTGGGAAGGTACAGAAACGGTGTCGTCGAATACGATATGCAAATCTTCACCCTCCAAGAGCTTCTTGTCAAATGTCTCCCTTTCCATCACGACAATGGACGTTGAACTACACACATCTTCAAGGGGCTCTTCTACTGCAGCTTTTTCCTGCACTGCCTCTATCTTCTTCTTGGGGCTCTTATTCATCATCAAGTGGATGCCACGCTCT